TCCAGGAATACACTGCTCGCATTCTAACATTCTATTTAATAATACTAATAATATTCCTTGCATTTGGTATGGTGACTTTTTATAACATGATCTATTATGATATACTGTAATGGGTGGTACGACTGCATATTTTGTGGGTGATTGCGGCAGCCAATTACGCACACAGCATATTATTGGACCTCAGACTCATCTGAAGGACGGCATCACTGACAATGCAACTCATCCCAGCACTGCATTGGAGTTTCAGGTTCCAAGTTCACAAAACCTTCTGACTCAGAGGTGAGAAAGCTGCCACCTACTTTTAATTCATGAAAAGATTATTCAATGAGGAATAAGGGTTAAAGTAAGTTCCCTTCAGCAACACAATGTCGCAACAACATATTAGATTACAAATAAAGTCTCAGACGCGTAAATAAAGCTTTTTTTTGCAGTAACTGTTACACAAAATATAACTTTCATGCAATAATAAAGCCATGAAAACTTGCACTGTTTTTCCTTGGCATGTCAGTTTGCCTCAGTTGGTAGAACTCCAGCCACATTATCAGAAGGTTGTGGATTTCAAACCCCGTGTTGGGACATGAGCTTTATAGTCAACGCTGACATTCCAATATAGTAATTGAGAGTGACAAATATCTGTCATATTTTTCTACCAATATGATTACCACACTTAACAACCTGCAAAGTGTTTGTGACTTTTTGATGTAATAAGACATTATAAAAACACAAGGTTTTCTGTACCAAATGAAGTTCTGTAGCATACTGATTTGAGCACTCACCTCGCAAGTGAGAGGGCCTGGGTTCGATTCCCAGGTAGGGTGAAGTGTTAGGCAAGTTTCCTTACACATGCCTCTGTTTACCTAGTAGTAAGTGGGAACCCGGTTGTTTTGTCGATTGTCGGATTGCATTTCCGGGGGTAATAATCCCTTCAAAAATATATTTTTTTAAAAATAATTTGAAAATAATTATTTGGTCACTCAATCCACAAGCTTTAGTGTGGGCTTTCCAAAAGGTGAAGTACAATTAACCTTATGTAATAGCACAGAGAATGTGACATTTAAGTAAAGCTTTGTATACTGTACATAGGAATTTTCAGATGACAAAATATTTATGCACTATTTCAAACCAATTGAAATTTCATTTCTCCTACGCTTTATTCTCCCAGGACTTAATCAGGACTCTGTTGAAGTTCTTGCCTGCCAAGGTAGTAATTAGCCTAGTATAAATATAATCAGACCACCATTAGTGCCAAATCGTAACTGTTACAGATTGAAACCAGTTTGCTAGAAAATCTGACTTGAAGGATTTCTGCATTAATCTGATTAAGGTGTCAGGAACTGGTGGGACCTTAATGAAAGCAGAATTGAGAAGGCCATAAACATTTTTGGTTTAGCTTCTGCAAGATTCAAATATACCTCTGAACGATTTTATTATACTGCAGTATATTGTGCTTGTTTGGCAGTGGATTTCTGCTGTTACATCTACATATGTTCCACCCAGCAACAAAAAGACCATTACACAATTAGCATGTATTGTAATGCAAATCTGTACTTAAGTCACCAGATCACGCTGTTTTCTAGTTTGTATAATTTGTCACACAATGTTCACTCATGATAAACTCAGATCAAATTAGATTCTTGCCAAGATCAATTTCTTCAGTATCCTTTTCTGTATTATTTCACTTCCATTCTATTAAGAACTAGCCCCTTGAGACAACATTTTCTTTGGCAAAAGAGCTTCAGTTATTAAAATGACATTTCATCTGTAATCCTATTCATGCTGAGTAAACCTTATAATAATAATAATCCTTGCATTTGATACAGCACCTTATCATATTGATGAGATGTCTCAAAGCGCTTCACAGATTATACTGTAAAGTGAATTGACTGCATATTTTGTGGGTTAAAAGTGGCAGTCAATTGCGCACAGAAGTGTCCCACAAACAGTTATGGATTGAGCGAAAAAAGTGTTTTTTAGGGATTATTACCCCCGGAAATTGATCCACCAATTGACTAAAAACCAGGTTCCTACTTACTCCTAGGTAAATAGAGGTGTGTGGAATAAGGAAACTTGCCCCGCCTGAGGTAAAATTTCTGAAATTCTTTAGCTCACCTACTTCAATGGTCTAGACTCTTTTGAATATTATTAACCTTGCTTATCCTGTACTGACCACCTGGTCACACACCCTGGTGTCGTAGAATCATAGAATTATATAGCATAGAAGGAGGCCATTCGGCTCATCATGTCTGTGACGGCTCTTTTTAAAGAGCTACCCAAATCAATCCCACTCCCCCGCGCTCTCCCTGCAAACGTGTCATGTGTAAAGTTCACAACATTACAAACGAAGTTCATCCATATCACTTATTAATAATTTAAAGCAGATAACTGCAACACCCCCTCCCTAATGGAGCCTATACCATTACCATCACCTTCTGAATCCTACAGACGACTTTTCAATTTAGCTAACTGGAGTAGAGCCCCAGGCTTCATTATAAAGTGGGTTCATTTACCGCATGGGTGAGGCGTGCAACCAAACATTTAGGTACAAAAAAATTCAAAATGTGTGCAGAAAAACAGCCAGCTTGATTCAAAACATTTGGCGGCTTTGCACGTTCTTAAAAAAACAGGCTGACATTATGGGTCATCAGGTCATCATCACTGACATCACTTCAATCAGTGACAGCCTGACGACCTGAAAGTTGACCGTTTTGAAGCAAGCTGGCTCTCTGCCTGCATACTCAATCACTGTGGGTGTGCAAACCAATATTCACAGTGGTTGGGATTTTATAAACCTCAGCTACCTTATTAAAACCGGGTTCCACTGTAGTTTGTCAGTAAATCTGTAACCTTTACCTTGAATAATTCCACAACCCTCATGTGTAGAACTTCATCAGTGTAATTATTCTGCAAAGACTTTTAGCACACGATGTATTAGTGACAAATCCAAATTGACAATTTACCGTGAGCTCTATAAATATATTCTAATTCAAGTCAATAAAATGTATAAGTAGTTTCACAACTATAGAATGCTAGACTATTGAGTCTATAATTTCTAGGTTCATAGGTTACTTCTAAATACTGTGATAACATTTCCTATCCCCTGCAATGCAAGTGCAATTTGCATTTAAATTGCAAAATTAGGAACACGGTTTGGAAACTCATTATTTTCTTCCTAGCAGTTACGCACGTAAAATTTAAAAAAAACAGAGAGAGCTTCGCAAGTAAAAAGAGAAATTCAAGAAAAAAAATAACAGTAATGATAAGTAACCCAGGCCATTGAATTCAAGCATTTAATCATCTTTAGGTAATTGAAACAATCTGCCTGCATTTTTATTAACATTGAAATCTCTAGTGTCGAGATTTTACTCCACAGTTCTTCAAGTATTATTAAATATTATTTCAAATAGTTTCTACTATTTGCCATAAACAGAGAATTTATAGTTTAACCCAACTCTTATAAGTAATGTAACAGGTTTCATGTAAATAAATACATTCTCAAAATTGTCATTTCATTGGACCCATTAACCACATGAAAACTGTAACCAATCAGCCTTATAAAGTCATAAATATAATTTCCCTCCCTCCAAAAAGCAGAGTGATACAATGATATTTCAAAGGAAAAAATATGATGTTCATTATATAGTTTTCCTAAATTATTATCGACATATCAAATTAAGTTATAATCCATATATCATGGGTACGTCAAACAATCTACCAGGAGACATTACAAAGGATACCTCTCATGTTAACAGACCTTTATTATCATGGCCCAATGTATCTTCTCCTTTCTACACCAACAGGGAGAAACCCAGAAATGAAAATGCAACAGTAAATCATTGATAAGTAAGTAGACAAGTAATTTTGTGGGCGTTAAGCGGGATCTCCTCAGGTTTGGTCTGGTTCCAAGGTGACGGGCTTGACAATGGAATGTCAAAATCGAGTCAACCCTCTGTGGTAATCTAGGTAGTCCAATTCCTGAGCCAGGCAGGTCCATAGTTCTCCAAGGCACAACTGATGACTACCTGGCTTGTCAGCAGTACCTGGAGGAGCAGACTGGAGGCATGGATTTTCCACTCAGTTCCTGTCAACCCTGCAAGCCAAAGTCCAATAGGTTCTAGTTGCACAAAGAGTGGGAACCTTGTCAGAAAATGCTCACAATGGCAAGCTATGTGATTTTTGCTGTTTACACCCCAGCCTGTATCCCAACATAAACTCTCGGGATCCCCAATCCTTTGTTATTGCCAATCTCGGCCCAATCCTTTCGGGAATTAGGTAAGGAAGGTGTATTGCTCAGAGAAAGAATGTGCATTCCATTCCAGCCACAGTCAAATATCAATTTGTAGGTGGTAATCATATGTGGTACTCTCAGTTTAGATACTCCTAAGCATGATGATGGATTTCTGCACATATCAGATACTTGCCTGACCAAAAAAAAACCTCACAGTACTCAGTACCATTACCCAGAGCCGATATGAATTCAACTGATGTTCTTTATAAAGGGCATGAGAAACCCAATAGATAAAGAAAATCTATTCTAGGGATAATTCATCTCTAATATGTCTTCATTTGATTATCTGACATCCCGATGATATATGGAGGATAATCAATTCAAAAATTATTCTAAAGACTAACTTAATACTATATCATAAAAGTTTTGTGAATACACTGCAATGAATATATGCGAAGCAAGTTTTAAGTACAGAGATATAAGCAATCAGCATATGTACTTTTCTCAAGTCATGATAGACATTTACTGTGGAAATATTACATACTATAAAATGCATTTAACAAATTAAAGTCAGAATCGAAATACAGGAAAAGAAAACTTACAATACAAACGTATCGTCTGTCATAATATATCACAGCCCTTTATGTTGGGATACAATTAATCATTAGAATTATGACTGAACTAAAGAATATAAGGCACAATACAGGTATGTGACAGATTCAATTATGTTAGTAAAGCAAGGATGAAATATAGTAAATAGTATATGACCACTTACAATGTTCATTAGTGTCAGAACATAGTTCTGCACATGCTCTTTTCCATGGAATCGGACAACAGAATCATCTACTGCCAACAGAACTTCAATGTTGTAGTCATCTTTCTTTGCATGCCTTCTTTTTCGTTCCCGATGACTTAGCTCCCCCTCAATGATGTCTAAAGAGTTTGAAAGGTCACCAACACCAAATTCTGTGGCTTTGAAAGAATAGATTTAGCAAAAATCAGTATTATTTTCTATAATACATTCAGTGCTGCATTGTAAATATTGTTAAGGTGATAACTGGTTACTAGTCACACAAAATATTCCATTGCTGCAAAACTTTGGCTCATTGTACATGTAGGTTTGCAGCAAGTATAACAGGTTATCTAGAATCATAAAAAATTTCAGTTATATTCTTTGAAAATATATATTTTATACTAAGACCGTATATTACAACATGAAAAAAATAGAAGCTTTAGGTATTCAGAACCATTACCATTAGTTGGAGATGTCTTGTCTTGAGCAATAATCCTTAATGCATTCAACTATACCAATTACAATGAGGAGAAAGTACCTTTATGACTTACTTCTTGGACCCCAAATAAATGCTCATTCTTATAATAACAACTTGCATTTATATAGCACATTTCATGTAAGACAACATATTTTATCAACTATTTACCCTAAACATCACGGTAAAACGTAGAAAGCTGTGTATGATGAAAGGGGGTTGAATTAGAGTTCAGGACTATTATGAAGGAAAAAGAATAATCTTCCAATAATTCATAAAACGCACAATCCAATAGCAAATGAACACCAGATGTGTACAATTCTTGACTGTAGTAGTTACAAGATCTTCACATAAGGCATGTCATAACAGCAATATTTTCTAACTCATGAATAAGGCTGATGTATGAATGCTAAAATCATAAATCTCTCAGTCTCCCTGGTTAAGTGGATGTTAAAGATACCACAAGACTTTTTGAAAAAAGAAGTTTCTCCAAATTTCGTAGAGAGCAATCATCAAAATAATATCAGTCATTCATCTCCTGTGGGAAATTGCTATGCCCAAATTGGCTGCCACATTCACTTTTAAATTCTGCAATCACTGCACTGCACAGAACATCCCTGTAAAGTATTGTAAGACGTTATTTCAATAAAATTAGCTTTTCAGACCAAGAATCTCAAATGAAATTGCTTTGTGTAATGTTATACCCGTCGAAATACAATTTCCACACATGTGATACACTTAAATACTTAAAGATGCAGCAAAGTTAGACTATGCAAGATTTGAGTAAGGCAGATATTCTTTTTCATAATCGGCTGCTGTACGTTCAAGCATACTATGATCCTAATTAAAGCACATTACTTCTCAAATAGAATATGTAAAGCTCAAACATATTTAACAGTTACCATTCACAATGATTGCATCTTCCTGGTATACATCAATGTACTCAAATAATGCTGTCTATTAAAACTATTAAGCTTACATGGTCCAATAAGGTGCAATGATTTGTTTAATAACTCATTTCAACAAATGACTATCCAGGCTTTTTGTTGCATAGTAATTTTCAACTGTTTAAATCAGCCAAATAGTTCTTTCTTCAATAGCTGTATTGTAAATTCTAAGTTGTAACAAATCAGATTGTGAGCCAATTCTCTATATAAAGCATATGTTTTGCCAAAGCCAACTTTGATCCAAAATTAATTAGCGCCCATTATAACTGTTCCTCTATGTGTAACTCTGGTAATAATCAAATGTCATACTGTGATTTTCCTATGCTATTGAAACAAGTCTTCACTGCAGTATAATCACAGTATTAATAAGTTTTTGGTTAGTTTAATAGAGTAATATGTAATTTTCAACCCCATGTTTACTTACATATTACTGATGAAAATGTAGAACAGTTTCATCAAATGGGATGTGTGTGCTTTTGACAACTTTAAATAATACTTGGAATAGTGGAAATACAGAAGTACTGTTATTCCTATTGTTATTTTATTATTTGAAAAATAAAATGGAGATTGTATCTGCTGAGCTACTACTATATTTCCAATGAATCTGTACTCCATAGTCATTAACGGAACAATGAGCTTCATGTCTACACAGATGGGTTATCCGCATCCTGTTCCATTGAATCCATCCCCAAGGCTGGAACAGTGACCAGACATATGTTAAATCCTCTGGTGAGAAGCAATATCAATAACTAAAAGAGCAATGAGACCTTTCCGAATGACCATCTCTGGGTCCATCATCCAAACTAGGAGTCATGTCAGCCACGAGAAATAGATTGTGCTTTAGCTCCTCTTCACTTTCACAAAGGCTGCTGAAGACACTATGAATGTGTTTGATCGAGCAGTAATTATGTCCATGTGAGTGCGCAGTTTGTTAACACGCTGGCCTAAAGCCATTAAATAGCGTTGTGTAAGTGAGAAGGACACAATTGACAGAGTGAACCTGCTCACCACATTGATTTGAAATGAGCAACCCTCCTCCAATTACTTCAGGATGTTGCTATTCAGGATGTTGCTATTCAGAGCTCTCACAAGCCATCTTGGGGACAATATTCAGCTTTCCACAATGGAAGACCCTTACAATCTGGATCTCTTAGTGTGGACTCTTTCCAAAGTTCAGCTGCCAGGATTTGGTAAATCTGTAAACAGAATAAAGTCATAATATCTTAATGCAGAATACTATTCACAACAATACAATTATGTATTTGTTTTTCTTCAATATTTTACCGCTGAACATATTGTTTCATTGGTGAGCAGAATTGTTATGATAGTTCATACATATTTTGTTTTGTTAAAAGATGTTTTATTTACAATTACCACCTCAGGTATAGTAACTGCACTTATAAGCATGCTGGTGTTATAACTGTAATAATAGTTAATGTACCTGTAATATTTTATTAGCTGATGATCATTTTGGTCGTTTCTGCCTTCAACAATCATCGCATCCCCTTGATGGCAGTCTTTTAATCCAAGTTCATATGTCGATTGGAACGAAGCCTTCAGCAGGTGATTTACATGATAAAGAGATAAATCATATGAAGTAGCCCTGATTTCTAGAAAGACCTGTTCCTTATTTAAAAAACATAAACAAAGCTACCATTTGTTGGTTCTAATGAGTAGGACACTGATGGCCAACATGGGAAGTCTAGCTCTTTCCCATATGTATTCGTCACCACAAAACGCTTCCATCTGTGCGACACGGAGACTGGAAAAAAAATCTTTAACATATGGTGATCTCATTTCGACATGAGTACCAAGCTGCATACATTTAAAGTTCACCCAGATCTTCTTCTAACGTATCTGCAATTACTGGAGTGAAGGAGATCATAAGTATCCTCAAGGTAAAGAAATAGGGGAACAACATTTTCTTGCTTCTTAACTCTAGACACAATGGTTTTATTAAAAATAGCCTAATTGGCACCTAGCAAGTTCATATGATAGCAATGATGAAGGTGTGAGTATTGCTTCATAGCTTGGTCCAGAATAATCTGAATCTAAATGAAATTAGTTTGCTAAAAAGAGAGGTGATAATGTAAGATAGATTTGATCGATTACTGTAGATTTCCCCTGAAAGTCCGGGGAGGTGGGGTGGGGGAGCACAAATGTTTGAGTTTGTGTGTGTGTGAAGTGGGGGAGGAGAAAGAGAAACTATAGAAAGGTCATTATTCGTTAAAGAAGGGACAATCTGAGCCAGCCACATGGGTTTAACAGTCATATGGAGTATTGCTGTCTGTCTCGTGACACGGTGAAAGGTTAGGGCATTGGGGTTACAAGATCCGCCAAGATTTTTTGTTATTTTGCCCATAAATACCACAGTCAGTCCACTTTACAATATATTCTAAAGCGCTTTCAGACGTCGCAATGACGTGATAAGACGCTGTATCAAATGTAAGGATTATTATTACGATTTAATAAACTGATGGAACAGATTTGATGAGCAGCTCCTCTTCCTGTTCCCCTAAGTTTCCAGTGAAAATGTAAGACTGTGCATATAACTAGATGTTTGTGAGCTGTGAAATCATATCCATGCCTGTGCATCTTTACACATCGTTCATGCTTTACCTTTGCAAATTGTGAACTTTTAATTATCTTGATATTTTGTAATCTAGTCCCACCCAGTATTACATTTAAACAATTGAAATGTGTTGACAATGGCAGATAACAGGTGTAAGGAAAGCAGTTACTGTTACAATTACTGTTCAGAAAATGTTTCCACTTCAAGTATCACCCCAGTAGAGTACAGTTACACTTGTGATAAATATGCCTTGGTCTTTCTTAAAATTCATCTCTGAAACCTCTATTGTGAATACAGCCATGAATAAGAAAATATCTTTTCAACAGTGCTGAACACAAGGCATACATACCACCTTGGGAACAATACAATTGGAAACCAGAATGGATTAAAAGTTTGGCATTACAGCACGCACAAATTCCACATACTTCCGGCAAGTGCAACTGATGTAATCTAATCTAACCAATTTTGGGAGCACTATGGCTCACTCACATATTTCCCAGCACATCCACAAGATCCCTGCATCCCTCATTTACACCAGATGCTGCAAACGTACAAGAACAGCTGTAGGTGATTGTCCTCAGAGACTAGAAGGAACTAGGGCAATTTTTTTTGGAATAAATCCCAGCACGTATGCTGTTAATGGTAGCTGGAAAGTTAATATCACCTGAAATTAAATGGTGACACCCTCACTGTGGGCATTAACCCTTTGACTCTTACCTGTTCCAGAAAGACTGGTGTTTACGGGTGGACCAGTTGTGAATGTTATAAACTCATGCCATTATGATGCTGAAAAATGCCATTACAGTAATAATAATAACCCTTGCATTTGATATAACGTCTTATCACATTGTTAGAGACGACTCAAAGCACTTCACAGAATATACCGTAAAGTGAATTAACGTTATATTTTGTGGGAGCTACAACATATTAACATTCCAAGGGTTAAGTCACTTTTAACAAAACCGCCCTACCAGGAATGCTAAAATTTCCCCTATATGACTACTGAAATATTAAGTTTTTTTGGCATGAAATTGATACTGCCAATCACAAAACCAAATACGTGCATCAACAATAAGCTAGATGCACATCAACAGTCATCCCATGCATTCCGAAATATTATAGCAAGTAATTCAATGACCTCAAAAATACAGCAAAGGAAAAAGTAACCAAAATAAACACAAAATA